AAGAGGAACGGGTTGTTACCGCTGAATTTGCGCGTCAAGCATAGAATTACGAAGATAAAGGCCGCCCGGCGATTGCTTTTTATCGTGAAAATGTCCGTCCAGCTTGCCTTTTCGTCGGCTTCCTGTCGAGTGACCGCGTCGCATAACGATTTCATCTCCCCTTCGATGTCCATGGCTCCTCGAAGCACTTCTAGCGCTTTTCGGGCTTCGTCGTACCTCTTCTTCTTGATCAGGTAGTAGGGAGATTCGGGCATCCACATGAAGGTGAAGAAGTGAATTATGGGTATCAAGCAGCAGGCCAGCGACGTTACGAATATTGAGAAGTAAAATCCGAAAACGTTGATGAGTAGCGTTCCCAGCAGAACTGCGAACCCGATGCTTGCAGTTAGGATGCCTCTAATGGCGGGGTCGGAGATTTCCCCCAAGTACATCGGCAAGGTCGTGTACAGAGTGCCTTCTGCGACACCGATTACGAATCTTGAAAAGCCGATGAGTATAACGGATTTGGCGAAGGCCAACAGGATGAACATCGCCAAGGTGAAGGGCGCCATCAGAAGGGTCGTGTGCTTTCTTCCGATGCGATCGACCAGCAGCGCCCCAATCACTGCACCGACCGGCGTTGCTAACGGTGGCATCACTGCGATCCACGAACCCTCTTCGCTCGTCATGGTGATGTCCGGAAAGGTCCCGTTGATAATTTGGGGGTTGTATGGGGAGGTCCATCCTAAGTTGACACCGAAACTTAAAACGGCGAAAGAGCCTACAAAAAAAATTTAGCTAGGGACGTCCTAATTCGAATTCTGTTGTAATTTACCTGCTACTGTTGAAAGGTACTGGTATAGGTAGCGTTCATTATAAATTTTACTGGACAGCTTCATTGTGAGCTAAAAATACAAATGTGTTACAATTCTGGCGCTTTCAAAAAAGTTTAACCGTTACACAAACGGTCGAGTATTTAGGATGCGATAGTTGAGGAGGCCATCGCCTTGTTGCATAATAAAAAAAATGAAGGTTACGGTCAGGTGAGACCTTGCAATTCGTTGCAATTTCAATTAGTAATTGTTTTACAAATTTCTCCACTTTAATTCATTAAAAGCGAAAATAGAAAATTAATGAGACAAGCAGGCCATTGCACTATCACTCCGAAAAAAAATCCAAAAAGTACTTACATTTATGTTTCACTAAGTAAAGCACCAAGCACTAATTAAACTAAAGTCCGTTGATGAATAACTTAAATATCGCACATACTTTCAGCTGGTACCAAAGCTCGTGCTGAAGTGAATTCAAATATCTTCAGCGTCGCGCGTTTATATCAAAATATTTCCATTTTAGTGTATGGCAAGCCTGGTAACGACTTATTACGAAGAACTCCCGTAAAGCATTTTTTTAAAAATTAATTGACGTATTGGTCAGGTAGTGGGATCCGCCGGGAAAAACCGCTTTCTCTATATACCTAAGTAAAGGCGACGCCAATCCCCATTCCGCACGTTTACGCAGAGACGAGTTAAATCAAAAACTAAAGGTTGCAATTTAGTTTATTTCTTGAGGCAACGTACGCACTTGTTTAGATACCCATCGAAACCTGTAGTACACGTTTATTTATAGACCCGAGAATATATGCAGAACGAAAAGTATTGCGATAACGTATCTTCCATGCCTGGACTGATTTTTCAATGGGTTTCAAAACAATACTCGGAAGGTACGATTAGAAATGGAAAAAGGGAATTGTTCATTGTCGACTAAATTGAAAAATAATTGACTGACTAATTACGGAGAGTAATTTTTGCAAACGATCCATAGGTAATTACGGACACGCCAGCATGGGACAACTCATGAAAATAGCACGTTCCTGGCTAATTATGTAATCCACGAAGAATATGCTGATAATGTTGGAATTTACCCATTGTTGTGGATGTTAAAAATTAAAATCAATTCTAGGATTAACCGAGGTCAGCGTAATTGTACATATTAAGTAATTCTTGCTTAAACGTTTTTGGAGGGGTAGGTGAACTGACGCACGTAGTTGCGCCAAACTTATTCCGTCAGAACCAGACTTTGGGGTGAATGGTTGCTTGATGAATTTCACATATGTAGTGGCCATTAGAAAGTTATTAGCAGAACCTTGACCCATGAAACCTAAATTGAGTGTGAAAGATTAGCGGTGGTGAAGGGGGAATTACAATAACAAACAGTTAATCTTGTATAAACAATTAAGTGGCACAATTGTGATAAATGCCTCGACTAAAATTTTCAAAAATCCCAGAATGTTAACTTCCTACCTGGGTAATTTTTCACATAAAATTCAAAGAACTTCATCTCGAGTCACTTCGTCTTACAACAAATGACGTTAATTCCACGAGAATAATTGATAAAAGCCATATTTTTCACTTATTTGCATTTCCGTAATAATATAGGATTTTACAGTTGAATTGGCTTGGGTAGATTTTACGACTGCGTCAAAGTCAGAGAGAGCCACATCAGGAAAAATTGCTTTAGGAGTGTCACCGTATCACTTTCGAATCGTAAGAACAGATATTTTGATGCATTTTATGATTGGTTAATTAATCATCAGGAAACGTCAGTCTTAACTTTAAAAAATAAATATTTACATTCCATAATGAATGCAATATTTAACACGTAATTTTTCGCAACCGCGTAATGCATATGTCCAGTGGTGCATCCAAGGGGGGCATTTGATAAGAGCAGAGGTTTTGTCGATAACCTTACTTTACCGTTTTTTCTTATGGAAAAAGTGTACATTCATGTAATCATTTTGGAGTGTGAAATGCTAGGCCAGTCAAAATCGACAATAAATCAACAAAGCATGATGTATCTCTGATTTTTTAGTATGTTGTTTGGACCCATTAGAGTAGTGTATACTCAAGTTTGCAACTCTGTAAAAGTTGTGGAAAAAGTGTAGTATACGAAAAACCGCGAAATTTTCGGACTTTTTGCAGTGTTTGCGTTATATTTCCTTAACTATACATTTTTAGACGAAGGTCACTATATACGTTTTAGAAGAGTATTAATGTGTAACAATTTGCGCCCAATCCGAGCTCTGTAAGTCAATTAGTTACCGGATTACGGCACTTTGAAGATAGTCATTTTTTTCCAAAAAGTGAACATTTGAGTTTTACACCTTCTTTAGATCGAAATTGCGGCTAAACTATTGATCCTACGAGTAGAAATTATAAAAAAGAAGTTGTAGATAATTTAATTAGCTTTAAGTTAAGCGTACAGTGGGGTCTGCAGGTCTCGTAGTTCTCTCTAAATCTCAAAAAAACCGATATAAGGTAAAATCGCATTTATACAGAAATGTTCCAAAAGCTTTTTATTTTTTGTTTTTTGGTGTGGTAAAGAAAAATTTGGCATGCAATCATAAACGGTGAGGTGTATTTTAATATAAACCTCGATATAAACATAAGTCATAACAATTATAGTAGGTATATAACCAATAAATCAAATATAGATCAAAATCGTCTCCTTGTTTTGAATGGCCCTGGACCGTCACTTTCGCTGCACTCTTTAACAGGCAGATCCTCTACTATTGGTGGATCGTCGTCGCGGTCCTTTATACGTAGAGAGTCCAGTATTGCTGGATCGTCGGGGTTGTCTTGAAGCTCGTCATCGTCGGGGTTGTCTTGAAGCTCGTCATCGTCGCCCTCTTCGATGAAGATAAGTGCAGCCACCTCTGCATCCCTTTTTGCATTTGCAAGAAAGGAGTTTCAGGAGTTCTGGGGGGGCAGGAGGTTGCCGTCTGGTAATGGGAATGTTTCCAGCCGAGTTCAATTCCCAACCCCATTCGGTGGCCTGAGCATTGTCCTGGAGACCACGTTTTACACTGATGGCAACTACTGACTGATGGATACCACGTTTTTGAACAATTATCACTGATTCGTCCTCAAGTGGATATCGACATATAAAACAAGACTGGCATTGTTAACAATGCCAGTGCCTCCCAGCTCTTGTTTTATATGTACGTTTGTGTTCCATGTGTCGTGTTGTGAATAGATTCCAATTGGAACCTATTCACAACACGATACATGGAACACAAACGTACAAACTGAAACACAAGTTACTCACAAAGAAGGAACAAATAGTGTGAGCTCAGGAAGAAACTAAGAAAGCGGGGGAACGAGAGAGGGTTTCATATACGATACGAAATATGGCATTAACAAATCATCATGAAGTCTGAAAATCTGTAAATACTTTAGCGCGCGCGGTGTAGGTAATAATTTATGACAACTTCGCGACAACTATACTAACATAATAAGGATCATCTTTATGAGCCAAAAACGTGCTCGCCAATAGGGCGGCAGACTTTGAATTGGTTTGAAAGCTGTTTATTACTCAGTTAAGATTAAAATCTGCACTATTCTTCTGTTAAAATAACCCAGTATTTCCGTACCACTACCATTATTACTACTATTGCCGATCACCCAACGGGAATACGCAGAACAAAGAATCGCTACAATCCTTAAATATCATCATTGTATATTAGGTATGTACAATTTTATCATTGCGGCACCTACCTACGACTTACTCAACTTTGATTTGTGCCTTAATTTAAATCTATGAAATTGTTGGATATTTAAAATTGACTCTATGCAGCAAAAAAAGTGATTTGACACATTCCTTTCTGATTTCCACACCAAAAAACAAAAGATAAAAAGTTTGTGGAACATTTCTGGAAAAATATAATTTTACCTTATATCGGTTTTTTTGATATTTAGAGAGAACTACGAAGCTTGCAGACCCCACTTTACGCTTAACTTAAAGCTAATTAAATTATCTACAATTCTATTTTATAATTTGTACTCGTACGATCAATAGTTTAGCCGCAATTTCGATATAAAGAAGGTGTAAAACTCAAATGTTCACTTTTTAGAAAAAAATGACTATCTTCAAAGTGCCGTAATTCGGTAACTAATTGACTTCCAGAGCTCGGGTTGGGCGCAAATTGTTACACATTTAATACTCTTCAAAAACGTGTACAATGACGAAAGTCGAAAAATGCATAGTTAAGGAAATATAACGCAAACACTGCAAAACGTGCGAAAATTTCGCGGTTTTTCGTATACTACACTTTTTCTACAACTTTTAGAGAGTTGCAAACTTGAGTATACACTACTCTAATGGGTCCAAACAACATACTAAAAAATCAGAGATACATCATGTTTTGCGAATTTAGCGATTTTTTGTGTCGATTTTGACTGGCCTATCCTATGCTTACAATTTCAATTACAAGGGAAATTACACGAGGGTAATGCGAGACCCTTCATTACCAAACGATGGCTGCGCTACTGCATTTTTTCATTTTCTATTATTAAAAGTGAGACATTTTTTGACGTCGGCCATCAGTGGCGGATTGGGCGGCGGGCAAGGACTCGCCAGGCACCTGGTACTTTGCGCCAGATTTAGAGGTTATAAGAAATTGTGAGGAGCCTTTCAAAAATCAATACCATCGAATTCTTGACGAATTTTTACAGAATTATACACAGATCACTATAGAGGAACGATTTACGACCTCACTTTTGTGCAACAACTGTATAAAATTCACATGTTAAGGATAATAGATACAAATCAATTGAAAACTGCACGAGCACGATAGGACTGAAGTTGAGAACCCAGCGGTGGGCAACTACAACACAGGATTTCTGTACATCATTCTGGAATATGTTAGAGTGTATAAAAATAATTACCAAGCCCCTAGTGCCGTACAAAAATAATTTTGCAAACATTTTTGAGACAAAAAAGTTGATTTACAACTGTACGACTTTTGTACAATACACTTTTTCTCCCTACATAGATATTCTATTGCAATTCCTTACAAATTTGCAGAGACAACCTCCGGCCCCATTTTTGAGCTGTATAGTGACGGCGATCTGACGCAACGTAAAATTAATGATCTCAGTTATTATAAATAAACAATATTTGTGAATAGGGGGGTCTAAATACAGTTGCAATACAGTTACATCAATGGTCTCCTTAATATTTCCCAAAAAATTTTTTATTCAATTATAAAAACAAGATTTATCCAAGTACTGAAGGTGAAATTTGAGCCAAACACATTGAGGTTTTTCAAGTTAAAGCAGTGCCGGCTCGTGAGTTCTAAAGGAGGACGGACATAAGTAAAATCTTACCTACTATTTTTTTTTACATTCTTCTATTTTTAAAGTCAGAAAAGACGATAATGACTTTGTTGCCGTTCGGGATAGACTTGACGAACTTCTTTTCTACGGATAGGTTTGCTAAAGCGTTCAGTCGTGTGTCAAGCGAGTGAGCAGAACATGGTTTATCTATAATTGTCGTTCGTTTTGGCAAAACCACTGCAAATTTGCAATGATGATTTTTACTTTTTTATTGCACTGCGCCGCTCGTTTAATAATTAAATCACATTGATGCCCGTAACAATGGAAACGAATATACGAATGCATGTGGAAATGTTCTTTTGATAATGGCTTGAACACCATTTGTCTTACCACTCATAACGGACGCCCCGTCATACTTAACTTTGAGGGATAATTTAATTTATTGCTCGATTTATTGTTATCAGACGTACATTGGCCTGGGTTGAGG